AGCTGGATGTACCTGCAAGTGGTTATCAGGACTCAGTGGATAACGCAATGGCGTTTGAAGCGAACGGTACTGAGTTCGAGTCCCAAACTGAACATCAACTCTGAGATGCGGGTACATCCAGCTGACGAGTCCCAAACAGGACGAAACCCTCGTCATGGATTCCACTGCTAGCCACTATCCATCTTTGCTTATAATGCTTGTAAATTAAGGCAATATCGAGGCATACGCACAGTATGCACATATGCCAATAAGAGACTGATCAATTTCAGTCCAAAAACATCAATGGGAAGATTCAAGTAAAACAATATCAAGTGAATTAAAATCTTATTATTTGAAAAGATGAATGATAGTTAGCAACGGAATTTAGTATGACGCGCATTTCGTCCTGTTTATGACTCGTCAGCTGGATTTATATGTATCTTAGAGATGATGTTCACTCTGGGATGCAAATCAAGTACTGTTCGCTTTAAAGGTCACTATGTTATTTATTTAGCTATTGATTCTTGATAGCCAACATTAAATCTGAAATCCAGATATATTTAAATGACGAGTTTCAAATAGGATGAAACACATGTCTTGGATTCCACTGTTAAACACTATACATTTTTGTTTAAAACGCTTGTGACTTAAGGTATTATCGAGGCAATTTGCACAGCATGCACATTTGTCAACAAGAGACTGCTCAGTTACAATCTTAATTAATAATGGGAAGATACAAGTAAACAATACCAAATGAATCTATGTCATGATTTAGTTTATTTATTGTTAGAATTTCCACTGAATTTTAAAATGACGAAATTATATTATTTATTGATTAGTTTGAACACACTAATTATGTCCACTTTATGTCCTGTGGTGGTCGGTATTCAATATAATCCTTAAACGTCGTATACAGTTCGTCTTGATAACCGTCACTAGATAACGCGCCAACGGTATATTAATCGGAAGGCGAATACGAAGTGTTGATTACGTTTATTATGGGACCACACATAGATATGTAAAATCACAGGTGCATTGAACAAGCATGAAAGAGTTGTGCTGAAAGGCAAGCGGGTGAGCGAGCGAGTGAGTCCGCGAATATGAGTACGAGTAAGCGAGTACAATTAAGCGAGAGAGAGAGAGAGCAGTGAACATGAAAAACATGGACATATATATACATAGTGAAATGAATGAATCATCGAATCAATTAAACGGTTAGTAGTAAGGCTAGCAACTTGAATAAATGCGTAGGCAGTAAGCAATGCTCAAGCATACATGTTCATACATTCACAACAATAATAAAGATACAATGATATAGATAAGTTGCTGTTATTGTACGGATGACTTAGTTCGTTAATAAGTTAACAAAAATGACTTAACTGAATTAAATGTGAACAAACTCAATTGCATGTGAGTTGCTATAGTCCACTATATAATATACAATCCTTTTGTTTTCATGTATCCATGTTAACTTTCAAGGCTTCTTCAAATTTGTAAGCCAATTTTTTTTTCTCACAAACATCCATTTACTTCAAGAATTTTCTTTTTTTTCTTTTTGAAATTTAATTTAATGAACCAATTACATATGATGACCATATGTACATATATGCTGTTTTAGTGGCCTTGTATCTGACTCTAGGTCGATTGTATGCATGAATGTTATTGAACTATACATATCGTCAATCCTTGTATATCATCATCGACTTAACTCATGTTAGTATATAACGGAAATAAATAAGTCAAATACGAGAATGAATTTCGAATACGTGTATTTCATACAATTGTTGATCCATACAAGCAATAAAAGAAAAAAATCCAAGTAACGCGCGATGAAGAAGGCGTGTTAGCCAACTCGATTTAACCAACCGTGAAACGATGTGATGATTGAATGGGATAAGAAGTGTACACATATATGCTTACATAAAAACAGTAACGGTTGATAAGCGAATAATTAATTTATAAATAAGTATCACATATAATGGTTGATATGCCATACATACATAGTTGTCATTATTTTTCTATATACTGAACATTTATTTTGTCATAGTATAAAATTCTGCAATAGACCATATCTAAGACTCTACCACAGGAGGTCGATATCAGAAGCTCACTAATGTTGGGTGTTAGTTAACTAATCACCAACGGTTACGCAATATTGAGGATTAATATAACCTAGGAATAGTAATCATTGGATATCTAAGGGTTGAGTACTATCAAATTCAATAATCTCCACAAACCACCTTCTAGATGATATTACAGAGGAGATGTTTATTGAAAAATGTATAACACAAACGATGTCATATTGTGAGAAATATTTCAGTATTATCTGTAGAAATAACCCAAAAGTGAGTATCTTATACATTTCCCTAGTTTATTTCATTATATTTTAGTTATATTGCTTTACTACTGAATAGTTTGTAAGTACAATAAATGGTTTTGAAGAAATATATTATTGTCGTAATTCTAATTATGTAAATTATTATCCCCATCAAGATATGATCAGACCGGATTTAAAGATTTAGTATTTGAGAGTAATGTTATTCCATGGTTTCAATTTGAGAAAAAGATATTTCGATATTTTTACAATTTATATTTTATCATCAGAAAGGGGATTTTGTAGATATTATAGTAATTTAATAGTTGAGTTCATGAGTCAATTAAACCTAGATCGCCATGGAAAACCTGGTAACACTGGACGACCGTTTCGTTGTAGTGTGTCACTAATGAGAAGTGCGTATCCATAATCCTGCATACCTAACTCAAACCCAGGATCTTCGGTCTCGTGCGTGAACGTTTATTATCTAGATCACTGAGCCGGCATCTAACAGTGTTATTGTCTAACTTCAACCAATACACGATATTGCGCAATCATCCACCATTGTCTTCGGTGAGTTACTATGTCATAACAGAACTGTTTACTGCACTGGTCATATTTTAACTTACATTATTGACCATAATAATAAATGTTGATAAATATATTTAGAAAGTAATAATTTAAAGTTGATAATACCTTCTTATACATGGTTCTCGAAATGACTTAATAAAAGAATGGTAAATATTTAGTTATTGTGAATTAGAAAATAATTCGTCATTTTAACAATCATAATTGGTCATAATCACAACTGATTTATCACTGAGTGGTGACCAATCAATTGTAAATACATCTCAATCCTACAGGAGGTCAGCTGAGTGACACGGGATCGAATTTGTCAGGGAGCATCAGTCCCCTTAAGATTTCAGATGTACTTTGCTGACAAATCTCAGGTAGCACGAAACCTTGTTCGAGGGTTTCCTGTTGACTTCTTCCAACCACCATCTTGTCTGCTCATAATCACTGATCGATACTCGAAATAGTTAAGGATGAAAGTATTCTCAAAGGTAAATAGAATAAAATATTAAATGTTCCACATATGCTTTCAACAGATACTCATAAAATAGACAAATTGATTGATAGAATACAGTTAAAATTAAAAGATTAATAAAATAATTATTTTAGATCACTTCTAAGTTATATGTATTTAATTTATTTCAACACAAAACATTGGTACAAAGAAGCACCAAAGAGGAGATATGCGCCACATAAATCATTTGATTTGTGTGAGGGATGAAATACTGCTCACGTGCCCAAACCCAATCAGGTGGTTTTCTTAAGGGGGCACACACGGAGCCTTCGATCTAAATGTCTGATCCACAAGGCAGTAGAGTAACGTGAGAAGATGCATTCCCATAGTAGCCGGTGACCAACATTATGTTCATACGCCATTTGTTACTTCAGGATTTTTGTTTTATTCTGTCGTAGCAATTGTAATATCTGGTCGTCGCTGACTGCTGTGACGGAAAAACGCTGATCACTTATACTCGGAGTGAGGGACCTCGTCAGTTCCCACGATGCGAAAGTAAGAACACAAGACTGGTATAAGTGAAGATTTATTAGCCCCAAACACTATGACAACGACGAATCGAATCTAGTCTAAAATACACTGGTTTATATATTGATTCTACACTCATTTTGATTAATAATTAGGATTAAATCACATACTCAGTTATAACAAATCACTTACTGAGCAAAGTTCTTGTCAACTGAATACAAGAATATCGTATATTATACAGAAAAAAAAATCATACTGGGAAAACAAATCAAATACTACACTGAATGATCCTCACGTTGAATCAAAACGTATGTTGAATGTTGAATAAAACTCATCATGAGTAATTCAATCGAAAATTGACTTTTCTTTCCATCATAACATAATTATACAATAAAAATACACGTTTAGTATTGGTCCATAAAAGGATCCTAAAATTACCGTTCATTATGTTTCACGGGTCCTAACAATTCTAGAGCCAGCCTATGTGCACCATTGTTTTGGAATTAAGGTTTTCCAACTTCCCTAAGTAGACTCTCCATATCCACCAAGTCGATTAAAGCACCAAACATTCGCTTTTTATCCTCTCAATTTCGTAAACAACATCCGTGGTGCAAGAATGCAATGAGTAGGACTTCCCTATCCGTGGTTATATGCATGTGGTCATGTGAGGGCATTTCAAGAGAGAGAGAGAGATAGAGAGAGAAAGAGAACTGACTCTCATCACTCTCAAACATTTAGGATTCTGTAATTCTCTTAACTGGTAAATGATTTAAAAATTGCATTATTACTAATAAATGTTTGCATTAACTTGTTACAAATCGATTCAACATAGACCCTTTTTTTATATTATAAATCAAATAGATGCTTAAAGAAATACATAAATTAAATCACCTATGAAATGAATCTACAAAAGTCAATTAATTGTTTTCATTAAACAAATATAAAGAGTTATGTACAAACCTACACATTATGCATTATTTATTCAAGGTATCAATGACAAGAAAAAGGAAACAATACATGATCAATATGAGCATATATATATATATATATATATATATATATATATATATATATATATATATATATATATATATATATATATATATATATATATATATATATATATATAGATGCATAATGGAGTTGATTTGCATTATCATCATTTTCACCTGGTTATTATTCGTTTTAAATTGAAAGTGTTGACCTTCATTCAAGGTTATTGTAATTAACCAATCCAATCATAGTATCAAATCAATGAAATTACCATTATCTGGATCATTAGTTACAATCACTTCGAATAAGTCAGATTTTAGAAAAAGGTAAACATCATCTTCTATTTTGATAATTAATTTTTTTAATAGTTGAGATCATGAGTCAAGCTAGACTCAAAATGCAAGACCTTGATGTACTAGATATTGGTTTCATCCTATTGTGAAACTTCTCCTTTGCAATGTTCATTCATGATCCCATCTTGAAAGATTCGAACCGAGGATTTATCAGTCTAGTACATGAGCGCTTAATCACTAGATTATTGATTCATGATTTCAATTATTGAAATTACTACATTCTCCACCAAACTCTTACTTTGAATAATTTTATTTCTGGTTAGCGTTTTTTTATTTATAGCGAGTTAGTTTTCTACGGGATGGGGTCGTTAACCCCATGCCCAATTCTCCTCCTTTATCCGGGCTTTGAACCGGCAGTAGTCCCTCAGAGGGACTTCAGGTGGACTTAAACCCTTACTGATACTAGTTTTTTTTTGTTTTTTATCTTTATACAGAGAAAAATCTCGTCAAGTAAATACAATGTTAGCAATAAAGTTTTTTATTTATAATCCAGAATGTTCTATTCCAATTACTTATCGTTTACAATGGTCATTATTTAAAAATATGGATTGGAATAAATTAATAAAAAAATTACATGAAATAACACATAAACAATATTCTGGTTTTACATTAACATGGAATGGTAAGTATCATTATATATTATGATAGTTGAATATGTATTATAGTTTTGTGTTGATATTACAATATGATTGTCTATGATTATCATAGTTGAATTTATGGGTTGATTAAAGTTAGACCAACATAAAAAACTTGGAAGCACTCGGATGACTATCTCGTCGTAGTATGGAACTGGTGAGTAATATGCATTTATGATTCTGCTTACGGGATTTGAACCCTAGGTGTTTGCACACGAGACTGATATGTCTTGGATTTGAACTTCGCAAGCAGGATCGTCGATGTGCACTGCTGAAGAGTTCTATATTAGGATGAAAGGGCCGTCCAGTTCATTCAGGTTTTGTGGCTGCAGATTAGATGGCAGAGAATTATTGATAGGACCAAAGATGCGCTAAACACGTAAGAAGGGCCTAGAGTTCTGATTGGTCCTGCTTCCCTGTCTAGCCCAGCCAGTTAAGTCCAGAACACAAGTCTCAGCCTCTCATATATGAATCATTATATTTCAAACATACTGAGTTTATATACCAATCAAACCGACCACAACGTACCAATAAAATATGAAGCAACATTTGTACAAGAATTAGCCAGATGTGGTGTGAATGAGGAAGGTAGCGATTAACAGACAGGGAATAGTTCATGAATGGTAAATCGTATTATAATAGTTCATAGGTCAAAATAAAGCTCACAATAAGAGGGACATGAATATGAATAGTTAAGTTACATAGCGATTATACGATAGAAATATACGTATAGTATTCGTCCATAAATGGGTCCTAAAAGTTACCATCGATTATGCTTATCGGGACATAACAATATATTATATTTTCCTGGTATTTTATAATAAGCAAGTACAAAAAAGACCTACAATATTGATCAAATGACTGAAATCGGTAGTGGTTTCTAAGATTAAATATGATTGATCTTCGTTTGTATACGAGTTCTTTAAATGAATACTTAAATGATGTTTGTATGTACAAGTTGATTAAATTTTACAAAGAGACAAGCAGTTTAATTTACGTCCCTGGTTTCATCGTCTATGGGACTGGTCAGTTGATTGTACGTAAATCCCATTGTTAATGAGATGATAAGTTTCATTGTTATCTCAGATTTATTGTCATTAACGGATTTATTTATTTATTTATTCAACCACATAAATATTGATAGAAGGAGGCACCAAATAGATATGCGCCACATAAATCATTCGATTTGTGTTAGGGATGAGATACTACACGGGTGTCCAAACTGAAGCTGGTGGTTTTCTTAAGGGAGCACACTCTGAGCCTTCGACCCAAATGTCTGATCCACAAGGCAGTGGAGCAACTACGAAAGATGCATTCCTCTAGTGGCCGATGACCAACAATATGTTCATACACCATTTGTTCCCTCAGGATCATGGAGCCAGTCCATGTGCACCATTAGTTTGGGGTGAGGGTCTTCCAACTCCGCTAGATGGACTCCCCATATCCATCAACCCGGTTAAAGCACCAGACATTCGCTTCTCATCCTCTCAATTTCGTAAACAACACCAGTTGTGCGAGAAGGCAGTGAGTAGGATTTCCCTATCAGTGGTTATATGCACGTGAACATGTGAGACAATTTCGAGATGAAGGGATGACTGTCCGAACTTTCAGCCGTATTAGGCTATTTGAAAGCATCAATATCGGATACTTTATCATTATACATTAATATAGTTGGATATGTATTATAAATTTGTCTACGATGACCAATTTTTGACAACAAATAACATAACTGATTCTAATCAGAAATGTGGTTTTTTTGGAGAATTTTTTAATAATTTAGTAGTTGAATTCATTCACGACCTAACGATCTCGCACACGAGCGCCAAGGGTTCGAAACTCGCGAGCAGGATCGTGGATGCGTACCACTGAAGAGTCTCATACTAAGACGAAACGGCAGTTCAATGCTTCCAGATTTTCAATAGTGGTCTAAAATCAATCAAATTTTTTCACAATATAATCTTTTGATAGGCAAATGTTCATACAAAATGGATTACGTAATACATTTTTTGTTCATTTTTTCTTTAGATGGATTTCATAATTGTATTATAACAGATGTAAAAGATATTCTAAGAGCTTTAGAATATATGCAAACTAAACAATTACATCATGATGATTGTTTACATATAAAAGTGAATAGTTTACCAAAATCACTTCCAAATGAAAATGTATTTACTACTAGTAATTCATCTAAAGTATTGAATCAAGTTTATCCACCTACATATACTGAAGCAATTGGTTCACAAACGAATTCATTACCGAAAACAAATCGAACAGAGAATAAAATTATTATTATACGTTCTAATCAACCGGCTAGAAATTAATAGAATACAGTTAATTCATATTCTTGTACTTTTATCAAGTTAAGGACGTGAGATCTCCACAACTCACTTGAAAATGGGATCTAATTTTGTAATTTCATGTTGAAAATTTGAATTTCCTTGTTTTTGCGCCAATAGTACTCTTTTCACCTTCATGTCGTATTTCCCACTTGGGAGAATCTTAAATGCTATTGGGCCGTTGTGTCTTTTAGTATGTTATTTTGTGACGTTTCCCAAGGACGGTTATGTGCTGTATATATATATATATATACGTTTTGATTTATGTCTGTTGTTATCGCTCATGTTTTTGGCATTTTGCGAAATATACTTCCCCGTTCGAACTTCAAATTCTCTCTCTAGTAAGAGGGGAGGGGGCTGGGATGCAATAGAATCACTAGTTTATTGGTCTTTATTCACAAGTTTTTGTTTCCGTTCACAGACCCAACAGAAAGCTACTGATAAATAGAAAGCATTGAATATTTGTTTCATACAAATGTGAGATTTCATAGTGAAGCAAATCTACAATTTAAAAGATCATAGAATCCAAAGATTTTAGAATTTGTAGTAAGCTCCAAGACTTTGAACCATTGAATAGAAATCCAATAAATTACATTATAATAAATTCAATATATGCTGTCAACTTTGTCACATTTGATCAATGGAAACTGGTAACAATTTTTGAATACTAATGATAAGAAGATTTGTCTAAGATGTGTTTTTTAAGGAGTATATATCTGTTAGAGAGAATCAATAGATATAGTTGAAAAGAATTCATTAGTCATATCAATATCTAAAGAGTTAGTGTTGTAACGCTCGGTTTTACTTCGTCTAATGTTGTTATAACGGTTGGATTTCTAAGTTTACACGAATGCACGAATGGGATGTTAATTTACCTTAGACGAACATCTACACTAGATTCCCTTCTAGTGTCTATTCTACAGGAATTCAACACAACTCAGATCAAGAACACGTGTGAGCGAGAATGATAATGTTTGGTTGTCTGCTTAGTCAGACATGTAGATTGTCTGATAAGTGTCAGATGAGTTATATATTCCCCTATCCTTATAATTATTATTACTTATTATTGATTGTTCATTGTTGTTGGATTGTGTCGGACTTTTGGTATGGAAATATATAACGACGTGGTCAGGCTAATCATATCAGTTAGTTGTATTATTTTTGACTGTTACTGAATGTTTGAAAAGTTCCCGTATTGTAAATTTAGAACAACATAGATATAAGTGAATAATATTGTTTTCGATTAGATCGTCATCAGACTTTACTCTAATATACAGTAATATTTATATGCATACCAATCAAGGTAGTTTATAAGTCAATGATAACAAAGAAAACGATTACATAATAAGTGAAAAGTACAAATTGGTAGTGTGATAACAAGTACTTTCTATCTTCCATACTTGAGATCATGATTCAATCGAAGCTAGATCGCCGTTGAAAGCATGGAAGCACTGGATGGCCATTTCGTCCTATTGTGGGACTCGTCGGCGGTGTGCTTTCACGTTCTCGTTCTGCGAGATTCGAACCCAGGACCTATCAGTATCGCGCGCGACCACAAATCTCGCGAAGGGGGTAGTGGGTTCGCACTGCCGAGGAGTTCCACACAAGGACGAAACGGCCGTCCAGTGCCTTCAGGTTTCTAATAGTGGTCAGTAACAATTTACTGTTGTGATATAGTTTATCACTAATTTGTACTATGATATATATTTTTGTTTATTTTGAAATTACTTTTATGTAAATATTTGTATACAAATTATTAATTGAGCTAAATTAGTAACTATATGTGTACACATTAAATATTGATGAAACATTTTTGTTTGTTTTTGTTACCAAGCCAAAATTTTTAAAAAAAACTATACAATCCTATTGAATTGTTTCTAAATACAATTACATTTTGATCAAATGTTTAATAGAATGAAAATGTCATTTTCAACAGTTCGTGTGCTGTTACGGTTATGAGGGCTGATGTCACTTCCCGGCTGCCCACACCATGGAAGGGTATTTCTTAAGGAATCTGAAAAAGAAGTTTGACTAATGTTAGTCTTAACGACCTAGGAGCGTTAGCCCAGAGCCCAAGGGACAACTGCTTGAGGCCGGTCGCGCACGGTCTATTTGTGGGAGCTTTTAACGTGTTAGCTCCTTTCTTCAAAGAGACGAAAATCCGTGAGTTAAGGTGAGGTGTGACATTTTTAGTCTGTACCATTTCTAACTCTTTATGAGTTGGTCTTATGTAGAATAATAGATGTCAATTCCTGAGACCTTCTTTATGACATCAAAATAGACATGTAGTATATTTTGGTATACGAGGGCTCTACTGTTTATGGCAATTTATGTTATAACAGAACAAATATTATGCTGGAACTGATGTTTCGAGTTATTATTAATTATAGTTGTGTTTTATAATCACTAGGCAACTGGATTACTATGTATATATAATCCATTTATCACTTAGGATTAAACCACTAACTTAGGTTACGACATTCATTATCCCTAAGCCATCGTAAAACAATGGCTTTTATAATTAATCTTTGTACAGAATGAAGTGACATTGGGAACATCTGAAAACTTCTTTATCTATACGAAGGTATTTTTCTTCAAGTATCCTGTTTATAATAAATTAGATAGGCTAATGGTTATGGATGTTGGTTCTCCTTCAAAGTCGGTCTGGTAGGTAGATTATACGTAACAGCTAATTGGTTGTAGTGTCTGTTGTTATGTTAAGCCCATATACCCTATTCTAGCTTCCGGACAGCCCATTCTATTCATTCTACTTCAGTCACATTATGACCTTGTTATTTATTCGCTTATCAGTCTTGACTGTTTTTATATGAGCGCGTAGATGTGTGTGCATTTCTTATCCCATTATTCATCACATGTCTGTAACTTACTTTTGTGTAACTATAAATATTGATTAACGCTTGGTTAAACGGGAGTTGGCCTACCAGTCATCTCCACTTTGCGTCCTTTCTCTTCTCTCTATTCCATTCGCTTAATATACAAAATATATGTATTCAAAATTCAGTTCTCGTTATTTGACTTACTTAATTCCGTTATTGACTAACGCGATTAAAGTCGATGATTATATACGGGGATATGCGATAATAAACATTCATACGATCTTTTTGGAGTTAAATCCACGGGCTACTAAAGTGGAGAGCCCTTTCGACAACATCGTCCGATCATAATGACGACAAAATAAAGGGCCTCACATGGTCAATGATTTATAACCATGATTTATTGCATGTTACTGGTCATAAAATGCTATGGTTCAATTGTTGAACTGACAATTACATAAGAACTATTTCATTGTAAAATATTTGAAAATAATTATACTACTTATAAATATTTAAGTAGGTCATTTTAATAAAGAATTGTCATTTCATATAAAGATGAATTCAATTGAAATTCATGTAATAACATATTCATTCTATTCATCATATGATCTGACAAGAAAACATGATCTGACCTTTATTATAATCAAATCATTTGAATGTCCCTTTCAGATAAACAGAATTTAATAAAGAAGAAAAAGAAGAAGAAGCCATGTGATTATTATTACTATCATCATTGAATATTTGTCTATTTGAAATGTATCCTTCAATCATTCATCAATATTATTAGTTTAATTGAAGCTTTCAATGTACAATGTTCATTGACATTCAACTATCACATGTGAATAGCTCCAATTCGTTTTGTGGATAATTTTTATTTTATTTATTTATCACGGGGAAGATTTCTGTAAATGAATAAAACAAACAATTTTTGTTTGCTTGTCAGAAGGGGTTTTTGTGGATATTATTAGTAATATTAATAGTTGAGATCATTAGGCAATTCAAACTGGATCACCATGGAAAACATGAAAGTATTGATGTTAGGATCCGACAAACATAATGAATGGTAACTTTGGGATCCATTGATGGACCAATACTATACGTATATTTTTATCGTATAATTGTTAAATAACTAAACTATTCGTATTCATATCGCTCTTATCATAAGCTTCATTTTGACCTATGAACTATTATCATACGATCTACCATTTTTGAATTATACCCACTCTGTTAATCACTACTTCATACATTCAAAGCTACATCTGGCTACTTCTTGTATAAATGTTGTTTCATATTCTGTTGGTACGTTGTGGTAGGTTTGATTGGTATATAAACTCAGTATGTTTGAAATAAATTATTCATATCACAGAGGCTCGGATTGTTGTTCTGGACTTAACTGACTGGGCTAGACAGGGAAGCAGGACCAATCAGAACTCTAGACTGCCCGTACGTGTTTTGCGCGTCATTAGTCCGATCGATAATTCGCTGCCCTATAATCGGCGGTCGCATGTTATAACAACTAGATAGTCATTTCATTCTATTGTGGGACTCCTCAATCAGTTTATTTGTAAAGGTTTTGTAAAGATATAGGAAAACAACTTGAACACAATGATGTTTATTGTTTATTGAAAAGAGATTTTCGTAATGATATCTTACTGTTATATGTTGAGTGATTACTCATAGAATTATTGTTGGATCAATTAAATTAACAGTCATCTTGAAGAAAAAGGTTATTAAAACTTTCTGGATCATACAATATGAACGAGAATCCAAGGACAACAACAACAAAAATTGTTATTATTTAGAGACTAGTAGAAATGACAGAGTTGTTATGAGTTTATGTCCGGCTAGTTATCATGTGATTTATCCAAATACGACTTACACAATCTTAACACTGTGCCAAACCAATAACGTTCGACCGGTATGAGCAGTATAGCGTCCTTATTAGTCCCATGTCCGCTTAGCCCGTCCGCCTTAGTCCAGAACACAAATACCAGCTTCCAATATGCGGATCATATATTTCAAACATACTGTGTTTATATATCAAACAAACAGACCTCAACGCACCATAAAATAGGAAATAACATTTGTATACAATGAAGCCAAAAAGTGGTTGTGAATGTGGGAGGCAGTAGTTAAAAAACTGAACATCGCTTAAGAACAGTAAATCGTACAATAATAAATTATAGGTCAAAATGAAGCTTATAATAAGAGGAATATAAATATATCTAACTTAATTATTGAATAGTTACATCATAAGAATGCATAGATAGTATTAGTCAATTAATGACTCAGAAGTTACTCGTGATTTATTCTTCGCTCGTATCTAACAGAATACTGGCTTGGATTACATGCATGTAATGCTCTTTATTGTCTTAAGGAGAGTAAAAACAAAGATTTCCTATTCAACTGCTTATAAGAGGTGTTGTTTAAAAGTTAATGATCATAACATGCGATAGAAATACACAAATAACCCATATTGGATATTGTTTTGATAACTTATGTAGCTGCTTTCGGAGGTAGATGTAAATGTATGTACACAGTTGGATATAACATAGAAACAGCAGCTATCAACATCTCAATAAGCTATTGAACATATAATTTTAAAGAAGATTAGTAGTTCAGCTTCAGAGTAGGTTTAACCTTCTAAGAATTGTTCTCAAAACACACAATTTAAAACTTCAGATAGATAAATATCAATTACTTACTGACTATAGCTACATTCAACTTATTGTCATTACATTTGCCCATATTTATCAATCAATTCTTGTGAATAGCGATTTTCTATTTGTGATTGTTTCAATGTCAATCAATTATCCTTATAGTTTCTTAATGGTACATTATCTTTGCTGTTTTATGAAATGGTACTTTGATAAATTCATTTTTGTATTTGATTGAAAAACTAATTAGCGATTTCTGGTATTCTATTACAAAGCCGAATGTCGAATTGTACCGTCTACTCATCAATGTCAAGAAAGTGGAACTTGTTTATTTTTCTGTTTCTTGATAAGCTGTATGTTATCATGAATCTTGTTAAAAATTCATAAAAGACATTCTGAATTCTGTTTACTGTTACATACACAATGAACGTCTCATCGACATACTTTGGACAGTCTATCATTTTATCAGTTACTTGTTCAAGCTTCATCTTTTTATAAGGATCATTTGAAATACCATTAGTATGAAGATTTGTGGAGATTGTAGTAAAAGGAAGGGTTTTAAATGATTCTTTGAAGTTAATCACACTTTCATATCGAATGATCTGATGGTATAAATTCCGCGATTTATTTTTCGTCTCAGTTTTACAATTCAGTATTTCCAGTGAACTCGAATAGATTACTTAAGTCTGTTTTTTTCTTTTTAATTGAACTTTACTTACTTATTTACACTTGTTATTCGTCGTCGAGGAGCATAGGCCGTCCACCAACATTCTTCATCTAACTCTGTTCTGAGCAATCGTTTCCAGTTTTTACCAGTGGCAATTTATCCTTTTTGAAGTCTGCCACTGATTCCCTACTTAGTGTGTTGTTTCTCATTTCTTTTTCTCCATTTCCCTTCAGGATACCAAGTTAGCGTTTGTCTCGTGATTTCCTCCTGTAGCTCTTCTAGGATTACTGCCGGTCACATATCCAAGTAAAGTAGAAGGGTTGGGATGATGTCAGCAACTCAATCTCGAAGGAAACAATCTTGCTAAAAAGATCATTAACCAGAATAAACAATTTTTAATTGAACACTCGCATTCAAATTCATTAAAAAAAATTCAACACTTTTCTAAAACTCAATCTATAGCTGATGATCAAATCTATTGAATATTACAACGAATATTATGTGTCATTCATAATTGATGTATAGATAGATTATTTAATGTATAATATTTATTAGTAGTTGAGATCATGACTCAATGGAAGCTAGACCACCATAGAAAACCTGGAAGCACTGGATAGCCGTTTCATTGTATTGTGGGACTCCTCAGCAGTGCTCATCCACTATCACGACTCGCGGGATTGCAACCCAAGACCTATCAGTCTTGCACGCGAACGCTTAACCACTAGACCATTGAGCCGGTCGGCATGCAACAGTGTTAATGTCCGACTACAATTATTACACGAAATTGAGCGGCACCTCCACCATAGTGTTCAGTGACTTACTGCTAGGTTACTAGTTCACTTAATCTGCGAACGGAAACAAAGACTTGTGAACAAAGACCAATAAACTAGCGATTTTATTGCGTCCCAGCCCCCTCCCCTCTTACTAGAGAGATAATTCGAAGTTCGAACGGAGAAGTATATTTCGCAAAAAGCCAAAAACATGAGCGATAACAACAGACATAAATCAAAACGTATATATATACAGCAGAAAACCGTCCTTGGGAAGCGTTACAAAATAACATACTCAAGGACACAAAATTAGAGCCTTTTTGAAGTGAGTTGTGGAGATCTAACACCTCCAACAGTTACTATTACTCAACAGACCCGATTAAACTCTATAGGTCACTGCCTTTTCACTAGAACTCCAAGTAATACCTATTGAAGCTAGTCAATAGTGAGCACACATACTGATTAATGTCTAACTTCAATTAATCCACGAAATTGAGCAACACATTCTGATACTAATATATATGTATATATTACTCATTTATATTAAGTAATTTCACGAATATTTTAATCACATGTTTCATATATTTCAAATCTCCACAACCCCTCTACTAGTAAAACAAAAAACACAAAAAAAAAATGTTAACCCCGTAACCATTACTATTGTAATGTTGTTATATCAATGAATGAACCAATCAAAGCAATGTGTTTCCTTCATGTTCATTTTAATATATAAATAAGATGTGAATACATTGATCAGTTTATCATTAGAATAATTTGCATAAATTGAATCGATATTAGAATTACATCACATTAAAGTACCTTTTTTTTCTTTCTTATTCTTGTTCTTCTTGGTCGTCTTCTACATTACCGAATCTTAACAAGATAGTTGCCAGGTCTATTTCTTAAAAGAAAATTACCATTGAAGAAAACACACCTTTTAATGTCTAATTCAAGGAAACCAATATTATCTGTGAAATTTTTTATACAAGATCCTATTAATCATGATCATATAGTTTATCGATGGATGACACCTATATCAGTACGTCATTTAGATTGGGATAAAGTCATTGAAAAATTACATTGTGTAACTTCTAAAAAATATTCAGGATTTGAAATGACATGGTATGGTAAGTATTATCTATGTATATGTATATATATTTTGGGTAATTTCAATGTATAATATTTTGATTGAGATCATGAACCGATTGATATTAGACCACCATTAAAAACCTGGAAGCACTGGATGGCCGTTTTGTCCTATTGTGGGATTCCTCAACAGTGCACATCTACGATTCCGCTTGCAGGATTTGAATCCAAGGCCTTCAGTGTCGCACGCGAACGCTTAACCTACTGGAACATCAAACGGTTCATGATTTCAATCAAAATCTTAATAATCTCTACAACCTCTAAACTGACAATTCAATGTATAAGTTGGATTGAATGATGTTTTCTAATTATTATTACTATTACTATTATTATTATTAGTATAATCTTTTGTAACCATTCGTTTAATGTGTAAGGCAGATACTTGTCTTTACCCGACACAGATTGAACTCCACTGGATACGATGTCTCATTAGAATTCCATGAAATCCATCTTGAAGTCAGCCACTAGTGAAAACATGATGATGATGTTGATGATTAGAATGGAGGTTTTTGTAAAGATTGTAGTAAGCGTAATAGTTGAATTTATGAGTGGAATTAAGCTTGACAAATTTAAACTATTATAAATTGAAAACTGTGATGAAATTCTAGAAACCTTTTGATAATAACCATTGAATAAGATATCCATGATAAGCATCTTATACTATGTTGGTTCTACTTGGAAAAGAACACTTTAGCATAGGATCTGGCATAAACTTGTATTGATCCAAATAAGTCGATCTTAAAGCAAAGATAAAAAAATACAAAGTTCGATAGAAGAACATATGATATTTATTGTAGTAGAATAGTAAGCATAAGAAATGACAGTTAGTATAAAACGTTGAGTTGTAGCTGTAACCGTACTTTATTCGTCTTTTCCAAGCCATTTCATCTAAAATTTCCAAATATGATAATCTAGTGGATTTCAGACAAGATGGCTCCTCTTACGGATATTACATAGATCGTTTAAGTTGTGTTTTGTAAACCTTTATGATCACAGGGTTCAGGATAATGTGTATTTTATATCAAAGCCGTTATATGAATGACATAGCAAAATAATATGTGGATAGAAATGTTACTATTTCTTAAGCACAAAAATTAGATTCAGATGATGAAGTATAATTATTCACAGATGGGTTTTGTGGATATTATAGTGATTTCAATGGTTAAGATCATGAGTCATTTGAAGCTAGACCACCATGGAAAACTTGGAAGAACTGGAGGTTCTGAGTTCGAATCTCGCAGGGGGGCGAGGTCGTGGATGTGCACTGCTGAGGAGTCCCACAATAGGACGAAAAGGCCAAATTTATTTCACTGGATTATACTCTTTGAATAACATCTTCAAACCCCAATCTTTCCGATTACTGCTTATACTCTTACTATCTCTATCACTACGGGATTTGAATCGACAATTGTGTCTGTGTGCTAATGTGGTGTAGCAACTCGAACTGATGTACGTACATACGAAGTTCTACACTGTTACTGACTGACTGACTGACGAAACGGCCGTCCGGTGTTTCCAGGTTTTCTATGATGGTCTAGCTTCAACTGACTTATGATCTTAACCATTAAAATTATTATAATTAATCAGTTGAAGGATGATGAATTTGATTGAATCTCAATTATATAATTTTGTTGAGATCAGCTAAGAATTTATAAATGTTTATAGTCAGTTTCGTTAATGGCAGCTAATGTCTTTAGCATTTGTGAATAACAGATGGTATTGTATATTTACAAATAGTTACTGTTTAGTACAGTTTGTATTTTTCATTTGTTTCTATTTCATTCTGTTTATAAGCAGACTAATTAAAGACTAAAATTTTCTTTATCTATTCAGATGGCTTTCATCATTGTGTATTGACTAATACAAAAGATTTACGTAAAGCAGTTGAATTAATGCAAAATCGTCGAACTGAAGATAATTGTGTAAGACTTCATGTTAGAGCAATACCAAAATTATTACGACCAGAATGTCGTTCACAGATTACTAATGATACAGAATTTTCAGGTCAGTATTTACCTAGTTATTTAGAAGCAATTGGTCTACAGCCTTTTATACACAGCGATTTCACTGATAATGAAAAACAATTCCTTAAACAAGATCCAATGACAAAAGATGAATATCGTTGGTAATGAAAGTAAAATAGATCTATATATGAAGATTCGAAACTCCATTGAGAATAATCATATGAACGTAAACTGTAAACTATTTTGGAAGATCATTGAACAATAATCTTTCATATATACATATATATATTTTTTCATGGTCCTTGTTTACATAACATATTACCCCCGGTAACTATAATAATCACTACATTCTATATCACAGATACTATTCAGTCAAAGAAATCAATCATTCACTTACTTATAGATGAGTTACAATTTAGGTTTTACAAAAGAACACAACACTTTTCTTTTCATTTATCAAATTAATATAAATCACTCAACATTTATAGACATTGAAACATTATGGCAAGTTGCCAAGTGTTTTTTTCTCTTCAAATATATAGTTATTTTTACTTCGTTGTTGTTATAACTGGTGGCTTGTGTGCCCTGTTCATGTATAATGTAATGATAACGTCAAATAGAGAATAGTGATTTATCGACTGGATCAATGATGCATAAAACCTTTATGAGCAATCTAGAGTCTTTATCAGTCATTTTCTCAGCTTAATCCTGTTTGTTAAGTCCAGAACACCAATCGAAGCCTCTGCAATATGAATCATTTATTTCAAGCATACTGAGTTTATATACCAATCAAACAGACCATGTCGCACAAATAAAATAGGAATCAACATTTGTACAAGATTTAGTCAAATGTGACTATGAATGTGGGAGATAGTAATTGATAGACCAGGCATAATTCGGGAATGGTAAATCGTACAGTTTATGGGTCAAAATGAAGCATATGATAAGAGGGACATGAATATGTATAGTTTAGTTACATAACAATTATACGATAAAAATATACTCATAGTATTGGTCCATAAATGGATCACAAAACTTACCATTCATTATTCTTATCGGGATATAACAGTTGTTTATATGGTAAACTTCTTAGATGGTTCCGTTTTTGAACTATTACAGTAATATTTATTATCTCATTAGATTATGTTTTATTTGTATCTTCCCATTGTTACTTAGGACTGAAATGTATCAGTCTGTTGTTGGCATAGATGCATCCTATGAGGAATGTCTCGATACTGTCTATAGTCAAAAGCTTTTATTCCTTATTTGATAATCTACTTTGCTTGATGAATCAACTATAAATGAAGCAAATTTTATGAAGTTTTCCTTCTTCAAACTAGACAAACAATGAAAGTTCTTTCGTAATTGATATTGTAATTTACAATACTTATTTCAATAGTCAGGTTATAACAGCAACTTTACTACAGAGCATTTGATCTTTGAATCTAAAAACTAACCATTATATTGATACTGGAAAACATAATAAGTCGGTTATAGTATGTAAGTCATACATCTCAGGACTGGATTCAGTACCAGAGAAAGCGATCAGTGTTGTATGAAAACAAATTAAAGTGTCTAAAGTGTGCTGATCAGATAAATTTGATCAAGATAAAAATAATGTTAGTGATTCTCCGATATTGATTATGATTTAAGTTCAATGTTAGTACATTCAGAAAATTATTCTACTTATGATTATTTAAGTAGTTCAGTTAATAAACTGAATGTAATTATCATCCATTGTATGATAGTAATGAAAAAAAATTCATTGATCATATACTTATAATTTGAGAAACCATAGTCAGAGTTGGAGAAGGTCACATGAAACGTATGGAAGATGTGAAAACCAATACATATCTGGGCAGCATCATTGATGAACACGATGGATCTGATCCAGGTGTGAAGGCACGGATCGGCAAAGCAAGAGCAGCATATTTACAACTGAAGAACATCTGGAACTCAAAACAACTGTCAATCAACAAAAAGGTCAAAATTTTCAATACAAATGTCAAGGTGGTTCTATTGCATGAGGCAGAAACTTTCATAACAACGAAAGCCATCATCCAGAAAATACAAGTCTTTATTAACAGTTGTCTACATAAAATACTTCGGATCCGTTGGCCAGACACTACCAGCAACAACCTACTATGTGAGAGAACAAACCAGATTCCAGTGGAAGAAGAGCTGTGATTGGATAGGACACACATACATCACAACGCAAGCCCTCATATGGAATCCTCAATGCCAAAGGAGGAGAGGAAGACCAAAGAACACATTGCACGGAGAAATGGAGACAGACATAAGAAGAATGAATAAGAATTGAACAGAACTGGAAAAGAAGGCTGAGGACAGAGTGAGTTGAAGAATGCTGGTTAGTGGTCTATGCTTCATTCAAAGTAACAAGTGTAGGCAAATAAGTAATGGTATAGTTATATAGAAACAATTACAAACTGCGAATCAATAACGTTTAGTCATATCGCTGAAAAGATTTATACTTAGATTGCCTGTTTGTCGTGTACTAGTACGTTAGTTTTAATAAGATAATAAGTGTATAAAATTTAGTGTCGATATGTATAGAATTATATTATTATCCGAGGTTAGATACAATGTAAACCCTTTACTTGAATTCATACAAAATTTAATTGTTATTTAGGATAGTTAACTTCATTAACAAAAGGTTGAAAGTAGGGAAGGTACTTCACGTTCATTGTTGATTTCGTTCAAAAAGGAAAAGTATTCACAAGATAATACATGACTACGTGTATCTAGAAGCTTTTTTAAAACGTACTAATATTAGTGAAAAGATCTGTAGCTTTCAAGCCAGGATAATGCAAATCTAATCCATCGTCTTCTAGAATTCTACTGTAAGGTTCTTAAGAACTTTAAATTGTAGAAATATGTTCAACGATTTTTTTTGACCGTTGAAAAATTTCTATAAGAAATATAAAAGAGAATCAACATATTGAACGCTGTCTTTTCTTGTATATGTTATATCTTGAACGTTGATTTCTTGTTATACCGCGTACAACAGAACACTAGAACACCAAAACCCTTCCAAGTCACAATAAGAAGATAGAAGACTAATTAAAGGAATATTATTTCAAACAGTCTCAATCATAGTACAAAATTGTCATGTATTTATAGTTTTTAGTAAGAACGAAATCATCATTACAGTCCTCCAATCCGCATACAGGGGGTTATTAGCATTATTTAATTGGGAAGCTACACGTAGGAATTCCAGAATATTCTTCCGCAAGGTGATTGGATGGAACATCTCCGGCTCCTTCTGAGCCTCTTACAGCTTCCTCGAGTTCACCGGTGGTCCGTCGTCACAGTAATAACTGAAGAAAATATTTATTTACAGATTTCTCTTAATTGCTTTTTAACAAACGTATCTCATACTTTATTATCCATCGTTTGCGATAAATTAATGATCAACTAACTAGACTGAAACGTTTTGATGTTGTAATAATAATCCAACTAACTTCAAGAGATAATTCTAGGAGTGTTAAACAGAAGCCGTTACCATTAAAGTTCAGCCACGTCTAGATTAAGATCTCTCGCCAATGAAAATAGATAACGGTCATGTAATATCATGATTTGAGTGAAGTTAGAAATTTAAACTGTTTTGTAGCAACGCAGTTGGTCGAGCTCTAACCATGAGACCTAAATGTTATAATTTTGATCTCTGATTGTGTTGTGGATGCACATGACTGTAGAGACCCATACTATGATGGAACAATTGTCTGGTGCTAACTGGATTTTAATGGTGGCTTAACTAAAACCAGTCTGTCAAATGAAACTTAAAAGAACTAATTGAATTAATTTTGAAAAAGTTAGCAAGTATATTGTAAAACTATCAGTGAAAGTGAAATGGTCTTCTTATTGACACTTTTCGTAACCTCACTCTAATTGATCAGGTAATGAACTTGATTACAAAGATGAATGAAGAAAACAAATTACAAACAAGACCATCTAAGCAAACTGTTATAATGTATGCGGAATAATTAAGACTCTCACTTCAATAGGAAGTACATGCTGAAGATGTTATTCATAGGAACAATGGAAGCTTATATATATAGAGAATCCTATCCAGAGAACTCGACCACACCAAATTGATTGGTAACCAATATCGTATTTGTAAGGCTCATGATAACCATAAATTTTTTCATACATTATGTTGTGATCAACAAAACGATTTTATCAGTATGGGGGTTGTGGAAATTGTTAAGTTTTTGGTTGAGATCATGAATTAATTGATGCTAGACCATCGTTGGAAACCTGGAAGCACTGGACGGCCATTTCGTCCTAGTATGGAACTCCCCAGCAGTGCGCATCCACGACCCCGCAACCCGCGGGATTCGAACCCAGGACCTACTGGCTTCGCGCCTGAGCACCTAACCAATAGACCACGAAATTGCGCTCAAGCGCGAAGCCATTAGGCCCTGGGTTCGAATCCCGCGGGTTGCGGGGTCGTGGATGCGCACTGCTGGGGATTCCCATACCAGGACGAAACGGCCGTCCAGTGCTTCCAGGTTTCCAACGATGGTCTAGCATCAATTAATTCATGATCTCAACCAAAAACGATTTTATGTGACTTTACATCAGTTAAACTATATTTCGGTATTCAAGCGTTGTAATCAGTTATTAAGATAACTTGAATCTAGACTTCTAAATTGATTTTTATCAAAAATATTTAAGAACAATCTTGAAGAATACTGGTACTACTCATGAGAATCGTACTTTTGTCACTCATCATAACAGTCAAAGAAATTAACACTGAACTATTCATTAATGAACAATGGTCAATTATAATAAATATTTCAGGTCATTCAAAACCGAACTGGTTTAATAAAATTGTGGTGTATGCTACTTATATCAACATAAGTAGTATATAACGCTAGTCAGGAATAGAATGTTTGGCAGCAGAAGGTCAAGAAGATGGTAAAAGAAAGAACAGGAATGAAAAGAGACTGATATCGAAATGCTGGAACAATGAAGTTTGAGAAAATTGATTGATTTACTGTATGATTCTCAGATTTTATTAAGATATTCAGTTAGTTTGTATACAAATGCATTCTATTGTCCCTACTTAAATTCAAGTTGATTACAATATAGTCTCTGACTGTGACACTTGCCTACGAGGTTTACAGATGAACAGTTATTATTAATTCCCTAATTATTACCTATAAGTCATGCTTACTATTAATAACTGACATGAGACTTGCTTCTCATTCAAATGATTCCAATTACTTAAAATCATAAGTTCCTTTAAATATTATAAACACTAAATTTAAATTTCTCTATAGATTCAATAATAAAACTCTATTCATCTTATAGAAACTCCTATTTATAGATTATATAAGTTGTATTCGTAATCCTTTCTATTGATCTAACACCCACCCACACACACACACACATATGATTTCATTAATGACTTACAAATTAACTCTGGAAGTCATTGAGATTTTGGTTTTGCTTAGTAACGAAAAGTATGATAAAAGCATGATAATCCGGGATACATGAATGTTATTATTGTGTTTAAATAGGCTAA